GGTCTTTTGTTTTGAAACCTTTGACAAATTAAAAACCCTTTAATCCACAATTCAGAGATTCTTTCTTTAAAAACTTACCCTCCCAATACCTTGCTTGTTGTCGTGGGGGGATTTAGGAGATGGAGACTGGATCACCAATGTAGAGATTGCCCCTGCCTTGGACTTCAGCCCTGGCCTCAACTACTTTTGCTTGGTCTTTTCTTCTCCTTACCTCTTTCATATCTTTTTCATCCCCTTCTTCTGTCATTCCTAAGGTGTGAGAGCCATTCTGAAAGGATGAAAGGCTGGCTTTGTCAGTCATGAACGGCCTCCTGGAGCCATGGGCACGGTATTCCCAGGGTTAATTGCCTAGCCCTTACCCCTTATGGGGGCCCTGAGGGGTAGACCATTTCTTTTCCCCAGTTTATTCAGGCTCACCATGGCCAATAATGAAGATTCTTTACCCTTAATATATATGTTAAGACTTACCCTTTCATGAACTAGCCTATCTGATTTCGATTTTGATGGTTTTCTTGACCTCTGCCCCTCCTTTGACCAGGGCTCTGACCACTGATACTAATAGCCTCTCCTCGATGTTTACTGACAACTCTATCCATTCTGAACCACCCATCCAGGTTATTACTCAACCTCCAGAGTGCACCCCTTCCTCTCTCAACACTCTCTTCTCCGTCTCCTACTGCAAAGTCTTTTTGAATGTCTATCCCTCCTTGCTTATTAATACTCTTCATCCTTATTGTCCTCCTCCCCTCCACAGAACTACTACTCTACACCACCCCATCATCCTGCGGCACTCATCCTTCTACTGCCTCTACCTTCACAAACCTTTTGAGTACTCTTTTTGCCCCAGCCAAAGTGGGATTGATTCTTTGTGATTCCCCCCACAGACCCCTACTTTGAGAATACCCCTCTCTTTCAACAGTGCCTCCAAATACAAGTAGGCAAAGTTACTTTACTTGTCACAGTTTCATCAGAATCCCAAGCTTATACACTATCTATCCTAACTGATCTTATTGGCAAACCCATTCCTGCCGAACGTCACCCAACTCCTAATACTTTACTGAAACTGATTCTATCCCCCCAACTGATTGTCCCATATATGACAAGAACTGGTCAAATTGTGAAAATGACCTACTTATCTGCCTTGCTGATTATGATGCAGTATTAGTACAATGCTACACTATTCCTCCCAGAGGTCAGCGTAAGTCCCATGTCAATATCACCAAGATTAGCTTCTGTAGACATGACCTCCCTTGAAGTTTATATTGGTGGATTGTCCGATCATATCGACCCCTTCCCCGTCAATGCCAGAAATGTTGGCTATTGGCCACCCAGCCAAACATTGTTGCTCCAAAGCCTGCTGCCCTCTGTGTACCTAACCCTGCTCAGTCACGTACAAGTGCCAACTGTGGTGACTCCCATAACGTGTTTTTATTGGAGCTGCCCTGCCTATAAGCTCGAATGTGAGGTAGCAGTTCTCAGATTCAAACTAGGCCTCACTCTATGTGAGGCTAGATAGGAAGCACTACGATTAGGTTTCTTTCTCTACCTACTCTAAAACAGTCCTTTGTTCTGTACCCCACCCCCCAAAGTCCACAAGATGTTACTGCATCTTCCCTAGTATCTCTTCTCTCTACCCGGAACCATCATACTTCTACTTCCTACCCCCTAGTCAAATCCGTTCTCCATTTTAAATCAAGATACTTCAGTCTACTACTCCGATGCCTACCCTTCCTCTCCCTCATTTTACGCGTTGCACCAGACAAGCTAAACGTTTACTCCATCTTCACCTTCCACCCCCCATCTAATTCCTTGCCCGATGTTGTCGTGCGGGGGCTTAGGAGGCGAGGACTGGGACCCAATGCTAGGGATTTCCCCTACCTTGAGCATCAGCCCTAGACTCACTGATTTTGCATGGTCTTTTTCCTCTCCTGCTTTTACGTTTCCGGCTAAGGTGTGAGAGCCGTGCTGAAAGGATGAAAGGCTGACTTTGTGCCAATACTGAACAGCCTGAGGGAGCCATAGGCACGGTATTCCCCTGTTTTAGTTGTCTAGCCCTTACCCCTCAAGGGGAGCCTGAGGGATGGACTGTTTCTTTCCCCAACATAGTCAAGGCTTATTATGGCCAATAATGAAGACGTTATACCCCTATTAGGGGCAATGAGGCTTGCCCCTTCATCAAATAGCTCCACCAACTCAAACTACCCGGTTCCCCGACCCCAGGCTTTCCTTTTACCATGACTCTGAACACTGCAACTTCTATCCACTCCTCAATGCCTACTCGTACAATCTCCAGGAGACATTCCTATTCTCAACATTCTCACCTTCATCATCTCTACCCCCACAAGCTTCTTCATCAATCATTCAATCCTCGCTTATTACAGCTTCATTGTCCACCTCTCCGTAATACTACCTCCCCCAACAATATTTCCTCTCCCACACGTCCCTGTCCTACCATCCCCATCTATACAAATATCTTAAATACTCTATTTAGCCCAGCCATAAGGGACCGTTTTCTCGTGACACCCCTCCCCCCGTAGCTCCTTGCTCAGGCAACATACTTTTCTTTCAACAATGTCTCCAAAAACAAGTAGGGCAAGTCTCTCCCCATAGCCGACCCAATCGTTCCCGTCTCGATACAGTTAATCTGAAATCCAAGCTATAGCATTAACAACTCTTAACTGATCTCTCTGGCAACCCTTTTCCTTTAAAAACTCATCCAACCCCCAATACTTGTACCGGAATTATCTCTATCTCTCCAGCAAATTGCTGTATCTATAAAAATTGGTCAGATTTCACGGACTAGGATGTAATATCAGTACAGTGCAACTCCATCCCTCCTAGAGGTCATCGTAAGAACCCTACCAACATTGCCAAAATTACTTTCCGTAGACAAGGCCTTCCTTTTAATGTTTATATTGGTGGAGAATCCTTCCCTGCCCGACCATACCGACCTCCTCCCAGTCAATGTCAAAACTGTTGGCGTTTAGGACATCCTGCCAAACACTGCCGTTCCAAAGGCCGATGCCCTCTATGTGAGCAACCTGGTCATAACTGATCAAACTACTCTGCACAGTTGTGCGGCGGCCCCCATAATGTATTTTATAGGGGCTGCCCCTTCAAGTTTGATTCTGAGGTGACAACTCTCAGATACAGATTTGGCCATACTCTGTATGAAGCCAGACAGGAAGCACGCCGACAAGGTTTTTCTCTTACTCCCTACTCCAGTAATGTCGCTTGCTCTACCCCTCCCTCCCTCACAAGATGCTCCTACACCCTCCCCTATACCTTTCCCCTCTACATCTTACTTGCCCACTTCTACCTCCTAGTCAAATTCTTTTGCCACTCTAAATTCAGACCCTCCATTCTCTACTGCAGCCCCAACATCTTCCACTCTCTCACCCCACACTACCTGCAGCAGACAGACTAAACGTTCCACCCCGTATACCACACACTCTACTCCACGTATCTTTTCCTCTACTCCTCAGACACCAGTTTCCTCTTTCACCCCTCATAAGAAAACCTTTTGTCTCACAAAACTCACCAACCAACTCCATTTCAGAAACTCTTGGAAGATTAAACTATCTGCTCGAGTCCCAAATTGACACCGAAAACCCTCATCCACCCTCAAATTCCACAACTCCCGCTTCCTCCACACAAAGTGAATGCCAATATCCACCCTCCTCCTACTCATATTCCCCCTATACCACTTCCTCCTACTCCCTCCCAACAAACCCCATCCCCCTCCCCCCAGATCCAACTACACCTACATTAACCCACCCTCCATCCCCTCTATCCCTTTCACTCCTTCCTGGATACATACGTGAATCCCTTATGTCACAACTATGCTTTTCTCCAGATCCTCCACCTCCTGATATTACACCCCCCCTCTAATTTCTTATCTCATCCCCTAGCTCCTTCCCCTTCAAATATTCCAACGCACTGTAAACGTTATCACTCATAGATCAACTGAGTTAAGTTATCCTACATTGGAATATTCGCGGTTTCTATTCTCACAGACCTGAACGTCGTCATATCCTTTCTTCTTATAACCCATCGATTATCTGCCTCCAAGAGACTTTTCTGACACATCCTTTACCAATTCCCAACTACCGTTTTGTCTCTTCCTCCCACTTCCTTTCTCGTCTGTACGTATCTATCAGAAAACATATCTCCCTTTCAGACCACTGTCCCGTGCACAGCTATTGGCATCTTTCTTCGCTTTTGGATCAGTTATTTCAGTCTACTTGTCCCCTTCCCATCGCATTGACTTTGTTGTCTTTGAAACTCTAATTTCCCAACTCCAACCACTTTTCCTCGTAGTTGGTGATTTCAACTGCCCCCACACTCTTTGGGGTGATTCTCTCACCACCACCTGTGGCCGATCCCTAAAATGCTGCCTCTCCACAAATGACATTATTTTTAATTCAGATCGCCCCATACTCTTTGACATATGCACACAATCTTTTTCATGCCTTGACCTCTCTCTATGCTCCCTTTTCTCCATTTAGATTTCCATTGTTTTTTTTTTTTACACCAGTTTCCCAATTGTGCCCACTTTCCAGTCCTCATTTCTCCTACTTCATATGTACCACTTCCTAATTCCCCACGCTGGTGCTGATGGAACTGACTGGCGTAATTTCACTTCACTCTACTATTCCCATCCCCCATCCAGCTTCTTGTCCATTTCAGATATGCTTCAATGTTTCACAACTACAGTCCTAAGTGCGGACTATACAGCCATTTCTCGAACCCCAAGATCTTATCCTTCCAAGTGTGTTACAAGGTGGAATTCCGATTGCACCAAAGCGCTTCGCCTAAAACGTGCAGCCTGGAACAGTTATCGCTACAAACAATGCACCTCTAACCAGCTACGTCTATCTATTCTTATATAGCACTCTACTCTAATACCGTTCCTTTGGCAAATTCCTTGGCGTTATTTTTGGAGAGACCATATCTTTTATGTTAAAGAATCTTACAAACTCTTTTACAAACTCTCCTCC